CACTTATTACATCTATTTTCATGAAGTTTAATTCTAAATTTGCAGGAATATCCATTTATCCTGGATCCCTTTCAAAAAGAAGCWCTCAAGTGTCTASAAAACAATCAATCAGTGCTTGTGTCTGCTCATACATCAGCAGGAAAGACAGTTGTTGCAGAGTAAGTTCATCAGTCTAGAGTAGAGATTTCTTAGTATTATATGAATTGTTCTTCTTGCTATATATAGAGGATATTACATATGTGCGCGAAGATATGGATTTTATCTTCAAGTGTTGAAAAGATCTCTCATGAGTTGCGAACAAGTCATAGATTTTCAGCACAAGAAGATAAAATTTATATCTCCAAGCGACAGTGTAATATTCTGTTTATCATATAATTACTGTACATATGAAAGTAAAAAAACATGTTGTAGAATTTTTTTTTTCTTACTTCCACTATATAGAGAAACCTCAAATGTGTTATTTTGATTTAGTTAAAATAAAACTTTAAGTAATGGAGAAATATAGGTATTTTAAATAGATAATACATGATGAATGTGAATATTTTATGCTTCACTTAACAGATATGCTATTGCAATGTCCTTAAAGAACAAACAAAGAGTAATCTACACAACGCCTATCAAGGTAAGTAAAACAAAGTTAACATTTCGTATCATTGTGTTAGTCTCATTTGGGTATAAACATGTCACAWACAGGCTCTTAGCAACCAAAAGTAYCGTGAATTATATGAAGAGTTCCAAGATGTTGGTCTGATGACAGGTGAYGTGACCATCAACCCATCWGCTAGTGCACTTGTCATGACTACTGAGGTATAGTATACAGACTAGCACAATATTATTACTGTAACTAGCATTGTAGATTGAAGAAATTAATGGTGCTGGTTGACCATGGACTTTTAAGCCTCAGCTACACTTACTAGCGATTTTTTATTGCACAGGCGACACAATTTTAGGGTACAATGAAAGCTGAACATCAAATTTGAGCTGTTTTTGTACATATATCTCTTTATGGAGATTCCAATAATTTTTTGTGGTGATTTTGGGAAAATCGCGTTACCTGCACAAGCAAAAGATCGCTCGTGTAGCTGTGGCTTTAAAGTGGCATTATTGTCTCTTCTTACAGAAGTACATTGTACATGTATTTACTTTTTCTGTGATTATTATACAACAGTGATGATAATTTAAACACAGCAATTATTTTGATTGTCTCAGATTCTTAGGAGTATGCTGTATAGAGGCTCAGAGGTAGGATATACAGATTGATTTTAACAGAATGCTAAAATCATCTTTATACTAATATCAATGGCATGAGTGCTAAGTCTTAAATAATTATTGTTAATAATAATGAGGATAATAATGATGATGATGATAATAATAATGATGATGATGATGATAATAATAATGATGATGATGATGATTATAATGATGATAATAATAATAATGATGATGATGATAATGATGATAATGATGATAATAATAATAATGATGATGATGATGATAATAATGATGATGATGATAATGATGATGATGATGATGATAATGATGATGATAATAATGATGATGATAATGATGATGTATTTAATTCATTTGTTCGAGTGTCAGTACTAATCAATTCCTGTTGATTAAAAATCTACAATTTTTACATTCAGGTCATGAGGGAGGTGGCCTGGGTTGTTTTTGATGAAATCCATTACATGAGAGATAAAGGTAAAATGAAATATTTTATCCTCATTTGCCTTCATTTAGTCACATCAAATCATGTTTTCGTGTTTGTTTTAGAGCGTGGTGTTGTGTGGGAAGAGACCATCATCCTTCTCCCTGATAATGTCCACTACGTGTTCCTGTCTGCCACTATTCCCAATGCACGGCAGTTTGCAGAGTGGATAACGCATCTCCATAAGCAGCCGTGCCACGTTGTGTACACTGATTTCCGTCCTACACCACTTCAACATTATGTCTATCCTTCTGGAGGAGATGGTTTGTTCCTTGTTGTTGATGAAAAGGTTTGCGAAATGATCCAATATCTTTTCAGTATGCTCCTGTAAGGAACAGCAAAGCTTATCAGGCATTCTCAGAAGCTCAGAGTTAATCTTTGTCTATTAAGGATATAACTGATATATCATTACTCCTGTGTTCATAAGGTTTTTACCTGTGATGCTATTGCCTTGTATAGCCTGCGTAGCCAGGCGTTCCTAACCGCTCCGAGAGAGTTTGGGCCGAGAAACTCAGAAAGGAACGCATGGCCGCGAAACTGGTGAAAAACGCACTGCGCATGCCCACAGCTTTCCCGCCAGTGGGCGCTCGCGTCTTGAAATCTGTAAACAGAGCGCCTGGCGATTTACTGGGACAACACAGAAAACACTACAAAAAACCTCATTTTCTCAAAATAGAAATAACAAGATAAAAATAGAAACTACATACTAAAAGGACCTATCATGAACAATGATTGATGGAAATATGAATCTTATATATCGGTGAACGAGCTTATAAATTGTAAAAAACTTTCACAAAAATCGCTTTACGAAGGAAACTGAATTAGGCAGATTTCAGCGGGAACAGTGGACATGCGCAGTGCGTTTTTCACCAGTGTCCATGGCCGCAGCTTTAGCAAATTTGAAAAACACGTTCGCCCACGAACGGGCGCTTCTCATTGGTTCTGGGTTTTTCTGGCCCAAACTTTCTCGGAGCGGCAAGGAACGCCTGGCTACCCAGGCTAGCCTTTTATTGTTGGAGAGAGGGATTTTAAAACGACTCTGATAAAAAGATAGTCAAACCAAGTAATTTGTCATTGTATATTACTCAAAGATGATTAGTTGTTACGGCTTTTTTAGGGTGATTTTCGTGAGGAGAATTTCAACAAAGCCATTGCAGTTATAAGAGATGGAGGAACAGATCCTGGTTCATTAAAAGGACGCAAAGGAGGGACCAAAGGTGAATAGAAAATAACCAAAAATACCAGAAAAAATCAGCTTAAATTTGCAAGAATTCAGTTTTTTATCAATGTAAATTTTTATCCAGGTCCATCAAACACATTCAAGATTGTCAAGATGATTATGGAGAGAAACTTTCAGCCTGTTATCATCTTCAGCTTCAGCAAAAAAGAGTGTGAAGCTTACGCACTGCAGATGTCCAAACTGGACTTCAACACAAGTAAGATGTTAGCTCGCGTAGCGGTCCTGTTGGAATCCCTGTAGTTGATACGCAGGGCAGACATGTACTGCTTCTGTAAAATGAAGTAAAATTTGAAAGTTTTAAAGCAATTTTTATTTGAATTTCCAACTGAACTTGTCTCCCAGTGGATCTGCATACAATTCTGATATTAACTAAGRCAACGTGAGAATGTTTGCATTTMATGCGACTGCAATGCATTGTAACTTCAATCGTTGAACATTAATTTATGCCAGGCGGTAAATTCTCAATTTCTTTGGCAGTTTTAAAATGTTTATTTATATACGTGGTTAATTTGAAAAGTAAAGAATAATTATTAGAACCTTTTTTAATATAACTCTTGCAGTATATGTGTAAATCAACAAACAAACGAACCAAGCAAAAGTAATAAACAGGTACTATTAACCAAAATGACTTTTTAGCGCAAGAGAAAGGATTGGTAGAAGAAGTGTTCAACAATGCCATAGACTGTTTATCCGACGATGACAAGAAACTACCTCAAGTTGAACATGTTCTTCCCTTACTGAAGAGAGGGATTGGTATCCACCATTCTGGACTTCTACCCATCTTGAAAGAGACTATCGAGATTCTATTTGCTGAAGGACTTATCAAGGTAAACGAACGCCATTTTCTTCAACAAAATTGTCTCCCTAGAAGCTTTTTTGCTGTATATTGTACCACTGTAAAGGATCACAAAAACAGCTTTTTAGTCAGTAATTTGACGGAAACATCATACTTTGTGGTACAAAATAACTTCGCAGCATATTGTCTGACTATAGGCTCGCTATATAACAGCCACACGACGCATGACAGCGAGGTATTTTTGTCAAAAATGAAAGCGTGCGTTGTAGCACTGCCCAGAAATGCATTATTTTCAGGTGCACGCTATGATATAATTGAAGCTGACCGCGCATCTCGAAAATTGTGGATTTAAAAATGGCTAATGCAACTTACTCGATACTTGAGCTTGAAGTTTTATCATTCTGTTTAGTAAAAAAAGTATGGGAAATAACTTCCTGACGTTTCGGATGTTTTAAAATCCTCCGACGAAGGATTAACATCCGAAACGTCAGTAAGTTATTTCCCATACTTCTTTACGGTGTTAAACTTATCTTCTTTACACAACTGTTTCTTTAGAAACACCGACGCAGCTCACACTAGTTTACCGCTAGTTCCCACCATTCTGTTTAGTAGTTTGTTTGACTATTTCAGGCACTGTTTGCTACAGAGACGTTTGCTTTGGGTCTCAACATGCCGGCAAGAACGGTTGTCTTCTCAAGCTCACGAAAATTCGATGGAAAAGATTTTAGATTTGTAAGTTTGTGAAAAGTGAAGCATTTCMCTMATGTTCTCAYAAGAAAACTGCATCGTGTACTTCCAAAACAAAACGAAACGAAACGAACAAAACAGACGTGAAACTGAATTGTAGGAATTTTCAGTTCAAAAAAACAAAGCAAAAAAAAAGGATTATCAAAAACTAGTGAACCTTTTTATTTCTATCTGAAAATAATAACGATATTTGATATAATTGATATAATGTTTTTACAGATAACATCTGGTGAATACATTCAAATGAGTGGACGAGCAGGGCGAAGAGGTCTGGATGAAAGAGGCATCGTTATTCTGATTGTMGATGAAAAAATGGGWCCYGATGTTGGGAAAAGTCTACTCAAGGTTAAACATWGWTMAGAATTAAATATGRACCAKTTTGCGAAAGTTTTAAAATGAAAAATTTGTGAAACTAATGGAAAAAATCGGCAATGGGCATGCTTGTCCGCTATAGCAGTCCTCCTAATCTGTTTTTGCTTCTTTGTAAAAAGTACAGATATTTATGCTTTCATTACTAAGAAAAAAGCCGGCGTTTAGGAATATTTCTTAGGGCCTATCAAAAGGCCAAATAATACAACTTCCATCATGCTTTGCTAAACAAAATGGCGTCGCTATGAATTTCATATTCAAGATGGCCGTCGTAGCGGTAAATTAAAAAAAAAACACACACACTATCCCTTCGTTCAGGTTCAACGAGGTTGGGTAGAATAATTTGCAATTTTCCTTTCAGGGCCACGCAGATCCGCTGAACAGTGCTTTCCATCTTACGTACAATATGGTCCTGAATCTGCTTCGTGTTGAGGAAATCAACCCTGAAATAATGCTGGAGAAATCTTTCTATCAATTTCAAAACTATTCTGCCATCCCTGACATGATTGAAAGTGAGTTATTGTTTATATTTACATGTAGAATAGTTTTAAATATACCGTGTGAATTGAGTAATGATTGCATGGAAACGGTTCCTAGAATTATGACATTTTAATGCTTTTTGTCTTTTCATTGCTTATGCAGAAATCAAGAAACTTGAAAAACAGAGAGATGAATTTGAAATCCCAAACGAGGAGTCGATCACAGCGTACTACAAGATACGACAACAGTTGAAGAAACTAGGAGACGACATGTTGGTATGTGCTTGTTATCATTATTGTATTTCCTGTTTGGCCGAAGTGCATCATGGTATTGGAAAAAATATCAACATGGCGGATAGATGAAGGACATAAATGTATGTTATGTTTGCAAAAACAACATTGTCCACAGTCCAGAATACTTTTACGCATACTTTAGTGTGTAGACATCTTATTTGATGTTCTTCCATAACATTCTCGACAACGTTCATTTTGCAAAGAATCATCATACTCCATTCGTCCACCATCTTGAAACTTTTATCGATACCATGATGCTTTGCGCCCAAACATGGGGCATGATGTCATTACGAGAGAGTGCCATTGTTATCATTACACAATTACAATAACAACTGCGATAATAATGAAGAGAATACCGTTGTTTAATCTTTTCAGCTTGGCATAATGCTGTTAATAGTTAGTAAACTTTTTTTTTGAACTAACTTTTTTTTACAGGCGTTCATCCATCAGCCAAAGTATTGCCTTCCGTTTATGCAACCAGGACGACTTGTAAAGGTGAATTAATCTTAGCCTCCGTCACTTTAACAAGACACTATTATGAAGTACAAACGAGACTACAAGTTCACGCTACTTTAAATTAAGATCACTTGGGATTGAAAATAATTTCGATTTCGATTTTTTCATTCTAAAGTATTTACCACAATTTACATTTTTCTATTAAATGACATTGCATCGAATTACACAAGTTTTTCATCATGTATATTTCTATTACTGTCGGTCAAATAGCAAAGATGCCACGGCTTCTTGAAGAACTGACTCTATTTTTCCATTTTTAATGCAGCAGAAGTTACTGTTCTCTTCAACCGTTTTTCATAATCGTAAATTACTTGTTAACTCAAATTGTCATTGCATTGATTTGATAGATTCAAAATAGGGACGTGGACTTTGGATGGGGTGTGGTACTCAATTTCCAGAAAAAAGCAAACCAAAAGGTGACGACCGTTCCCTTGAAAATTACTCACATAACTCACCAGAAACCCATTTCTTGCTTCTAAAACACTGATATCATTTGCTTTATTTTTACAGAGCGGAGGACCAATAAGTGATGCGATATATGTGTTAGAAGTTCTTGTAAAATGTTCAAGTAAAAGGATTCGGTCTGCAGATGGTGAGATGCCGCAGCCATGCGGTCCTGATGAGAAAGGGGAGATGCAGGTATCCCATTATTCCTTTTCCCTTTCATCCACTTTTCCTCTCATCCTCTTCGTTTCATAAATCTCCATCGGCCATTCTCTCCGTTCATTTGTTCATTTACTTATTCTTGTGTTTGGTTGACAGGTCGTGCCTGTTTTATTACATCTTGTTAAACGGCTCAGCAGTGTGAGATTATATATTCCTAAAGATTTGCGATCACCTGATAGCAGACAAAGTGTTGGTAAATCGATACAGGTATGTGTAAACCTAGTATCCTCCATGTTTAGTTTCCGTCACGCGTCACGCAACTTCTCCTGTGTGGAGAGGTTTCGTGACGCGTGACCAAAACTAAACACGGCTGCGAGGAGACTAGTGTAAACCATCTATCTGTCTGTTCACCTATCTGTGATTGTACAAGTTTAGCTTTGGTGTTTCTCGTTTTTTTCGTGTGTTTTTTTCGTTTCGCTATATGTTTCCAGTGCTCAAGCAAGATGAATAGACTTCTGAACCTTTTACGTCATCTACTTGATTTTCAATGCATTGTGGGATCAGTTTCTAGAGAAAACAAAAGAAATCCGCCATGTTCCAAACATATCCTACAATGCATTGCGTATACRGTACATGACGTAAAAGGTTCAGAGATCTATAACGAGAAGCATCGACTCTAAATGGCAGTTGAGGTCTTCTGTATCTCGATTATTTACAACATGGCGACTTGTTTTTGTAGGAGGTTTCTAAGCGGTTTCCTGATGGCTTACCGTTATTAGATCCTATTGAAGATATGGGAATCAAAGATGATGGCTTGAAAAAAATTATAAGGGTAGGTAACTCACAGACCGTGGTACTGTTCATTCATTCATTCATTCATTCATTCATTTTCCCGTCAACTATTTCAATGTCCAACTTATTGAAAGAAGGGTGAAAAGAGCTATCCACCAGATTTGGCACTATGAGATACATGATATAGAAATAACGGAAAGTTATAGTGCTAGGAAGGAGGTTATTTCCAAGGGTCTTTCTCCCGGAATAACCTCCTTCCTAGCACTTTTTAAAGTTAAAACTTTCCTTTATTTCTATATCAGATGTATTCTTATCCAGCGGTGAAAATCCCGTACAAAATCTAAGGATTGGATAGCTCTAACTGGTGAATAACTTTATTCGTCCTTATTACAGCCAGCCCCTCATGGTTTAACGATAGCTGTAGACCTCGTTCCCGGTGATATGTCGTTTAAAAATGTTTTTTTATACTATATTCTGTATCTTCAGAAAATAGAAATGCTTGAACATCGAATGTACTCACATCCACTTCATAAGGACGCCTCTCTCGACTCGCTATATAAGCTATGTGAAGAAAAAGCACAGGTATGGTTTTTATGATGGATATACATGTACTTACTCAACGGTCAGTTAAACCCACCGCTCCTCGACCCCCGGGCAATACCGAGGTATTTAACATGTTGGCAATGTTCAAAGTCCCGGCTTTCCCCGCCTCTTGGAGACATAACAAGAACATAATTTCCTTAGATTTAGACGTTAATTCTCCCGCCTTACCGTTGATTGTGCTATTAAAACTGTATTTTAAAAATCCCCTGCTATAATGTGTTAATTCCCCGGTACTCCCCGGGGGTATTTACCCTGCCTTTGTTTCTCCGATGTGCTCGTCAGATCATCGACAAAGCAAAGACCGCACGAAAAGAACTTAAAAAAGCCAGGACGATATTACAACTGGATGAACTAAAATGTCGAAAAAGAGTCTTAAGAAGGTAAAACTTTGAACAATAAAAGTATGGGGACTGTATTTTAGTGTCGCTGCATAATAATTCCTACAGAGTCATAGACTGTTTGATTTATTTATTATTTATTTTCCTAGGCTGGGTTATTCTACTGCAGCTGATGTTATCGAGCTAAAAGGCCGTGTAGCATGTGAACTCAGCAGGTTAGAT